AGCAAAATCTATTGAAGTCATAAGTCGTATGCTAAGAAGTTTTCTTTCCATGCTTGGAGTTATTGTCGAGGATTATAAATCAAAATTTTTAAAATGCGTTAAGTATGATTGTTGACGAACGTTGATTTCATAGTCTAGGAGGAGACATGAGATACCTTGAAAAATGACACATTTGAAGGTAATAAAACTTTGTTAAGGGTGTATGACAAATAACATTACTCTCATCAACCCTGATCAACTAGGCATTGATCAAATAAGGGTGGACAGTTTTGACTTAAATGTTTATTGTCTTGGTAGAGATATCCAAAATTCTTTGAGACCATAAATAAACATCAGTGAGTTAGTTGAGATAGCTAAACAAAAAATCTTGAGAGTCACAAGAGTCTAAATCGGGGTTGAGTTAAAAATGATGAATCTACGATGAGGTCAGTAAGACATATATAAGAAATCAATTGGTTATACATGGATGTGAGCATGTGACCAGTGGCGGACCCAAAATTTTTATATAGGGGTGTCACATTTAAAAATTAAATGAAAAAAAAAAATTAAATATCCAACCAATACAAGTTGCATCAAAAGTCAACGACATGTTATCATATTTTGAAACAAATTGTAAAACATACTCACTGTCTATAATGCTCAACAAATCTCGGTATATCATACTAGACAATCATTCACGAACTAATCGCCTATTTGATTCCAAAACTTGTTCTTGATGTAATCCAAAGGTGAAAAACTTCTCTTAACACTTGGAGTTGCAACCGGTAAACTCAATATAACATTGGGAGCAAATATACCCATGAATCTGATAGATTCAATTTTGTCACTACCATCAACTCAGCTAACTCAATAGTTCCTTTTAATCAACAAAATAACTCATCATTTTTTTAACATAATGATAATAATTCTCAAAATCCTATAGAAGAAAAGAATTAGAAAGATGACCAAACTCTTCGGCATAAAATAGTGTGTTAGAATACACTGGAGATGAGGGGTAGATAATTTTAGACTTTGAAAAAATTGGAATAAGGACTACACGTTTATAATTACAGATATGACAAAATTAATAACAAATGAAGTGTAGTCAAATAGACAATACGTTCACTAATAACTACTGTATTATAGATTCAAATTACATATGCTACCATTATTTTTTTCCTTTTCACATACTCAAACTACTACCGAGAGTTTATTAATTTTCTCCCAAATTTTAGCACCTGGGTCCGCCCCTGCATGTGACTGCATAACAAATTTTGGCAATAAAAAAAATTATGATATCAAAGTTTGAAATTATTAATATTTTAGTTTGTAACAGTGAGCAATTTGTATTTACATTGAATCATCCAAGCGAAAAAATTTGTTTTATTATACCATTCGACGACGAGGTGAGTTCAAAAGTATTAATTAGGTTAAAAATGAACTCTTTATATATAATTTCTTAGATATTAAAAATAGATGTGTATACAATATATTTAAGGATTCACATGCATGTGAAATATCATAATGTTTTTATAAACACGTCATTTTAAATACATTTGAAATCTATGTGTTATAGATACACTTTATCAATTATTAATATAAGTAATTAAAATTTTGTTCCTGAACAAACACCAAAAATAAAGAAATTTTAGTAAATGTACATTCAAAATTTTGGAAATTATACATTAAAAGACAATATTAAGACAAGAACTCTCGATAGTGTATGTGAGTGTTTTGGATTGAGATGCTAAGCCAACATATTGACAACAATCATGGGTTGAGGGTTAATCTAAACTTCCAGAATTAGCAATTAATACATATTGTATAAGATACTAAATTTGAGTGTTTTGATATACAAATTTCGTCATATGATCCTCAAGTGAGACTTCATGAATATCCACAATGAAAATGAGTGAACATTACAGAATTTAATCATCATATGGCGTACAACTTGTGTCAAGTTTCAATTGAAATAAACATAATTTATCACATATGAAGTATCTTTATCCAGTAATTTGAACTCTTAATAATTGGTTGAGAGTTCGTCCAAACTCGAGAATCACAAATCAATATATGTTGTATAAGATAATAAATTCGAGTGTTTTGGTTGAAAAATCTTAGAGGTCGTTTGCTTGTAGGATTTTAAAAAATGAAAGATTTAGGTAAAACCTTGGATTTTATGGATGAAGGATTATGTGGGATTTTGTCACTTTGGATTTGTGTTGGATTTTAAAAAGTGCATGTTTGCTTGTTGGATTTTATATTGGATTTGTGTCCATGGGATTTATCAATTATGGGTTGGATTTACATTTGTATTCTTAATGATTTGTGTCCTTAATGTTCAATATATGAAATATTGAAAAGAGATAAGGATAGACCCATCATTTACTATCATGGATTTTAGTCTCCCACAAAATTCCATGGACCCCACGAATTTTGACCTCAAAATAATCCCACATACATGGGGCTCACACACAATAATCCAACACCAAGTTTAAAACCAAACATGGACTTTGTGCATAATTCCATGGGTGTTGGATTTAATTCAAAATCCATAATGAAAATCCTACGAGCAAACGATCTCTTAATATACGATCCTAAATGAGTTGCGATAAACTTCAGGATACTGTTTAGATTAGAGAATCAAAACATCATAAGAAAGTTTGCTAACTATTAATTAGTGTTAAGAATTTTAATATTCGTATACGCATAAAAAAATATAGAAGAAAGAGTTTCTAATCATGTTGTAAGTTGTAACCCGATATAATAAATTTGAAACTACGCAATGGGTGAAGTTAATTGAGATGGAGTTATATTGGACGTTAGTGACATAGTGATGTCCCATGACGACACACACCTAAACCATCCTAATCCTGTGTCCTCCCTGCACCCTCCATCTGTCATTTCTCTGGGACTGGAAATACTAAAATTTGAATATTTCCCACTCAAATAAAATCAATTAATTAATTATTAATTTTCACCATATTCATCCACTGCTCAAAATTCTCGAGAGGAATGGGAGGGTGGAAGCTAGCGGAGCGGTTAGAAGTAGTAGTACTCTGTTCTGCAACTTTGTCTCTCTGTTCTTCTGCATCTTCTCTCACTCTCACAAGCCGGATAAAGAGATGCCAAAGGAGGGGGAATGACTCGAGTTCTTGTTTGTTCCTCTCTACTTATCCTACAAGGTTTAAGGTTACTACAGGTGAAAAGACAAACCAGACCCAACAGTGTTTTTTACAAAAAAAAAAAAAAAAAAAATTACAGTGTTGTTCCTTTTCCAATGCAACGTTAAATTTTAAAATAACTTATCGTGTTTGTGTCATATATTATCTCATAGATCTTCTCACATGATCCTTCAATGTACTTCCTGCTAGCTAATCTAGGATTATCAGGGGAGGGAGGGGGAATCTTAGTTTAATACTATTGTTCCTCTGCTAATAACCAACGGGCATATCTCATTGATTTCTGTTCAAAATGCAAATGCCAAAGTGTTTTGTAATTGGTACTAATTGTATCGAAGTTTAACGAATTTAATGATGGTATGCATTACAATTAATGCGACACTTGGAGGATTATATGAAGTGCATGGCTCATTGTTCTTAATCTGAGTCTTCGAGGAGGCCAGAGGAGGCTAATAGATCTATCACCATCTTGCCACTTTTCAAAACATAGCATTAAATACATGCACATAATATTAGACTCGTTGAAACTCGTATTAGACTTTATGTATCTACGTATATATAGCTACACACGTTTTTTTTAGTCAAAGATAAATACTGAGTAAGGTTGTCAAATCGTTGAACCGGTTAGCTAGTAGTTTAAAATTTTAAAGGGTAAAATGTAATATTATTTATAAATTAGCGGTATTTCGATGAGAAAACTCTACAAATGTTGGTCCTTTAGGATTTCAGTTACTGAAATCTGCCCCTCTTTCTCTCTACTTTTTGGGTTGTTCGATCACCCGATCAATCCGGTTAGAATGATCAATTTTTCTCTTTTGTGGTCGATTTTGATCGTGTCATGGATCTTTAAGAAAACGGGTTTGTGACAACAACCATTTATGAGACCAAATTCTGTAAGACGTAATTGAGTCGATCGACTGAATACCGTCTTGACAACCATGCTTACGATTTTGAAGTTAGTTCGCGTCCTATGCCATATCATGCATGTATCCAAACACACAATCAATAATAGAGGATTACTTTTTGATTTGAACACAAAAAATTTACACCAACCCGTCATGAGATTCTAATAGTGTGTTTAAGAATGGATTTGTCTCCTTAAATCAAGCTATCATATACTCCTAGGAACATTATGTCAAGTCATTTCATCATTTCATGTCATGAAACTTTGTACCAAAATTAAATAAAGCAAATCCAACAACGATGTAACAATAATGCAAATAAAATTTCGAATCATGCAGAACTTTGAACAAAAGGGGAAACAAGGGGTTGTGGGATAGAAATGGCCCTGTAGGGAAATGACAAAAAACCTCTCAGCTACCAGCTTTCAGACAGCACTTGCTCTCTCTACCCATCGCTTTATGCAGATCTCAGATGCACATATGGGCAGTGTTTTCTACACTTAGGCACCATCTGGTTGTCCTTATTTAGTTATAAACGGAACTTTGCTGCCACCATTCAGGAACCCACCAATTTTACAAAACATAGAAAGAATCTGCTCACTTTAGACGTACTGCTACTCTGCTACATACAAACTACACTCTCTCGACTTACTACGTCTCGGGTCCATGCAAACACCAAAAGCTCTTCCTTTTCCCCTTTTAAAGGATCTGCCTTTTCCATAGCCACGATACAAGGCTCAAACTCCCATGAACCAACAACAAGTCTTCTTTTGAATCCAATCCTTAAAAAGTTAAAGGCTCTTCATTATTCCTTCATTATGCATTGCAACCCATGTTTTTTGTTCCTATATGCACTGTCCCATCTGGGTTTCATTTTGGTTAACTTCTTTTCACATTGATTGCTTGTTTTGTTTTCTTTGTTGGGTTCCTAAGTGGTGTTTAATCGCGCCAATTAATTACCCACAAACCTCAATGTGCCATAATTAACCATCTGGAAGACCACAAAAAAGGGCCTAGCTAAGCTCTCACAAGTCACACCCACCCAAATCCAATTAACACTCAAAACTAATTCCTTCTCTTTTCTCTTAATCTGCGCTTCACTTTACAAAATTCCCAAAACCAACAAACGAGAAAAGTAAAAATTAGAGACCCTAAACCCCAAAAAAAGGGCACTATAATTAATAAGTAATTAATTAATTATACAGATTAGAAAGAAGGGTGAGCTCAGACCAAAAAAAAGAAAGAAGGGTGAGCTAGGGAGGCAAGGAATGAGATTCCTCTCCAGTCCAATTGTCGTCTTTATAGCGAGCCAATGAGAGAGCGAAACGTGTAAGGAGAGCGGCATCCACGTGTAGGTACCTAAAAGGCTCCACGACTCCCAATCTTGGGGTCGGTCGTCATAGCCATCACGTGACCCCATGTGCCCGAGAGCAACAACAACTGGGCTGAAGTTGTTGGGCCTAAAGCAAAATGTCCAGGGCCGTTTCGTGGATCAGCGAGTCCAATAACTCCCTTTCCACTTCCGTTACGATCCCTTCCCCTTCTTCCTCCGCCGCGGTTTCCCTCCACCGGAGCTCCCGATGATCGGAGAAATCCTTGTCGATCAAGGCATCGATGTCTTCCAGAACCTGACAGTTTGCGCTGGGGAAGCTTCTTATTTTCTTGCACAGCGTTTCTACCAGGCCCGACCCGGTCACGCCTCGACCCGAAACGTTGACTGCGTTTGTCCTGCTCCTGGCCGTGGTCCAGGGCTTGACGTTCAGGTACGGCTTGAGGATCCCGGCGAGAATTTCGTTGACGAGTTGGAAGATTAATTTCCGGTTGCAGGGCGGGATGAGGTGGCCGGAGGACGGCGGCGGGGTGGTGGTGGCGGTTGTGATGTGCTCCAGGTGGTAGAAAATCGTCGGGTCCAGCGGGTGGGCTGGGGAGAACCAGTTGGTGAAGGAGACCGGGGTGTCTCTGTCGATTCCCGTACGTTTTAGGATTCTGGTGATGTACTCTTCCTCCGCCGCCGCCTCGGCGGTGGCGGCGTTATTATCCTGGTTGCGGTTTTCTTGGGAGGGGAGCGGGCGGGTCGCTTCTTCTTGCTGCGGCTGATGCTGATGTCTGTACGACGCCGTGTGGCTCGGATTACTAGGTAACTGTGAAGGAGAAGATGAGCACCGTTTCGATTCTTGAGCATTACTCAACCCCACCTGCTGCTGCTGCGGCTGTATATTAAAAGATTATTATAACCGTACCGAAAAATTAGTTCCATCGAAAATTGAATGTGATAAAAATCATAAATTATTGAAAACAAAAATGGTGGTTTACCTGTTTTTGGGGGGAGAGGAGTTTGGTCGCCGGAGGGGCGGGATCCTTCTTGACCGGAAGAATAAGGGAAGGGAGCTCGCTTGATAGCGGCGTTTTCCTGCACCTCTTGTCGGGAATATTCCCGCCTCTGGTTGCGGCGGTCGGACGCACAAACGGCTCCTCTTGCTTGTTCCGCATTATATCCGACGTTTGCGGAGGCATTCTCTTCCCGCGGCTTTTCTTCCCCTCCGGCGGCTCCTTCTCTTGCAACGATATTATTCCTCCTCCTTGCTTCGGCACCACCGCTACGTTGCTTTTCTGCGCTGGGGTCGTAGGATTACTGATCACCACCTCCGCAGTCGAAAATGACTGTTTTTTGGACTTAGACATTTCGTCGAGCACGTGGTGGTCCTTTCTGTGCTGTACCAATTTGGGCTTGTTGTTCTGCTGCTTGACCACCGGAACTGAATCCCCGGCCTCCTCCTCGGCGACTCTTGTCAGCACTTTTTTCTTCTTGGACTTGATTTGGGCGACGAGGTCGCTATCCCTCCTGCCTCCGCCGCCGGCTCGTTTCTCCGGCTGCTGCTGCTGCAGCTGGTTTTCTCTGTTTTTAAAGGTGTTGGTGATATCCAAACCGACTCGCCTGCTGACGCTCTCTTTCACCTGCTTCACAATCTGCCTCGCGTACTGCCGTGGACTTCTGGTCTCCTCCTCCGGCTTCAATTCTCTCCCTTTCAGCCGTGCTTTGATCCGCGAGATCACCAGTTCCTCGCTCGGGGTCATGTTCTCCTTGTTGAGCTGGAGCGACAGCCGGTGGTGGTAGTGGTCCACGTCTGACTTCCTCGCCGACGAAATTCTCGGTGCGCCGCTGCTCAATTCGTGGCAGTCGAAGCTTCTCCGATGGTGGCTGTAGGACGAACTCTGTTGTTGTCGCCCCTGCTGCGGCTGCTGCTGGGGACGTAAGTGGGAGAGCTTCCCGTTGAGATACGGCGTCGTGGCGGAAGACGCGGAAGAGCGTGGTGAGTGGTTTTCGGGGAGAAGGTCGAGTCCCATCAATCTGGCTACCAGAGTTGGTGTTTTGGTCGCCGGCGAGGATGCAGCCGTGTCGGAATCGCTCTGAACTGATCCTGATCCGAGTCGGGTTCCGGGTTTTCCGTTTCGGGTCGTCTTGATTTGAATACCCATCTGGAATTTTTGCCAAAAAAAAAAAAAAAGACAAAAGGATATAATCAAATTGTAGAGTTCGATGAAGAGCAATGTTTGAACAGAAGATCATTAATTTAATAATTGAATACTCACCGGGATATTCAAATTTTGTGCTTGTTTAACGGCCAATGGTACTGAAGCTTCCTCCTCCATTTCCAAGCTGTTCCTCGGCGCTTCGGCGCCTGAACAATAATAATTCAACCCGATCAGTGCTAATCAAAATTAGGTAGGGTAATTAAGAAAGTGAATAATGGACCTTTAGGAACAGGGGGAGGGCGGTCGGGGAAGTGGAAGGAAGCTGGTTGGAAAGAAGGGCGCTGGTTGAGAGCGGTGGCGAAAGGTAAATCAAACAGCTGGAACACGGCACACATGCAACCGGAAGGGACACCGGAAGCAACGCCGGCGACACCTTCAGTCCCAGCAGCTCCGCCGCCGCCGCCGTCATTGGCTCTCTTTTTGGTGGTGCGTTTGGAGGATTTGCTGCTGCCGCCCCAGTACCACTCCTTGCCCATCTTGGAAAACGGGAAAGCTTTTGGATTAGTATGCAGTTAGAAGAGAAGAGAGGAGAAAAAGCTTGGTGGGAGTCAGAGTGACAATGACAAGGAGAAAGAGGAGAGGTAGCGGAAACAAAGAGGCAGGAGAAGAAAAAGCTGAAACAGGAAGTTATAAGAGGAAGGAGAAGAGAGGAGAGGAGGGAAAAGGGGGGAGCGGAAAAAGCGGATCCACGGATTATGAAAAATAATCAGACCAGAAGGCCAAAAAATTTGAGCGTCGGTATTTTATGCGATGGGAAGGAAGGTGTGCAGGAATTTGATTTGAAGTACGAGATTATGTAAAAAGGGGCGGAATGGTGATATCATATTTGTAAAAGTGTTATATATAACCGGGGGAAAAAACTGAAATTCAAATATGAAATTACGAATGAGAAAGGGATAAAAGAGGAGTCTTTTTTTACCGGCCCAACACTCACTCCCAAGTTTTACCGGACCGAACTCTGGCCCGGCCCTCTCTGTTGCGTTGGGAACTGGAGCGAGAAATTTGTTTTATTTTCAGTTTCTTCCTAGTTTTGTTTGGGTTCGAGTCAAGGTCGCGAGAGAGATATGGAAGGATCTTTTCCCCAAGCGTGAAAAAATTAGTTTACTCACATTACTTAAGTCTGTCATAAAATATTACAAAAAAAAAAAAGCATTAAAACATTAAGTTCCTAGTTTCACAAGATGTTATGAATAATAAAATTGCTGTGAATTATGAATTTGTAAGTTAACAAAAAAAAAAAAAAAACTAAAAAAAGTTTCTCATCGTAAAAATAATCCACAGCATACAAAAAACAAATAAATGAATGAATATGAATGTTGTTATGGGAGGGTAAATAAAGATGACGAAATCCTACGCAGCCTTGACCCTCTGTTTGCACTCCCTTCTGTCGCATAATTCAGAGCTCGGTTTACAAAGCGATTCCCCAAACTGGCACACAGGGCAAACCGGTAACTCAACATCACCGAACCCCCTCTCTCTCTCTCTAGTCTCCTTAATTTGCATTTTGTGTGGTATTTACTATTTAGATTGGTGGGTAAACAATTGCAACGAGTACGGTTGGTGGTTAATTTGGGATCCGCAAAGATAATCCGCTCTTCTTCTTCTTCTTCTTCTTCTTCTTCTTCTTCTTCTTCTTCTTCTTCAGTCTCTTGTTCGTCCTTGTGACATTCGTTCTTGTATTTTTGAGCAATTAAAAGGAAGGTTAATTAATAGAATGGATATACTTAAACGGTTGATCGATACATAGGTAATTTGGTTACAAGCGAACCACCTAATTAGTTCATGTATACAAAGGTGCGCGCATGTCATCATGGATGTAAACGTGCATCATGCACAATCATTATATTGTCCTAAACTCGGCCAGCCAGCTAGTTCGAAATTCAAATACTTATTATCATCACTAATTATATCGTTGCTTAGCTTGCTGCAAAGTTGTTGAGATGTTTGAAGGTGGGGTGGTTGATTACACATCAAGACATTGGCAGCGCACAAACGCAGATCGAAGTTTGGATTATTAGGGTTTAGGGTTTGGCCTTTGAGAGTTTCAAGGTGGCTGGTTGGTCTAGCAGGCAGGCAGGCAAGCAGGGGGGATTCCTCAGACAATGGCAGGAGCACAGCAGATCTGTATATTTGATTAAACAATATACGTACATTTCAAATGTTTCACCACTTGTCCGCTAACTAAGAAAAGAACACACCTGTAATCATTTCTCTGAGGGGGTAAAAAGAGAATAATTGAAAACACCCGTATAAGATTTCATGGTCAAACTTAGTTTCATTCATTTTTCACTTTTCTTTACTGCTATCATTCTATGATTTACCCTTTATACATCCAAGCCAGATACGCCAAGTTTAATCTGATTTGGTAGACTCGATTTATCTCGATCTGTTACGTAGGAGTATCATATATTTGTTAGTTGCGTAATATGTAGAGTGAGTCGGTCTCGTTTTTGCTCTGCTTTTTATCGTTCTTGATTTAGATCTTTTCTTTTCTCATAGACAAATATCTCAACAGATTAATAACCCGATATAAAATTTAATTTTGTTCCTCGTTTGAATTTCGGTTTTGAGCAGGGGGCCTTCTGGTGGGTCAAGCTTCTTTGATTCTTTGTTTCAGCTGGTCGAAGGTTGTACTACTTTTCTTCCTTTCTTTCCTTTTGTGTTCCTTTCTTTTTGGTTGCACTCCTGGTGCCCATTTGTATCAGACTCTTTTTATTTCAATTCAATTTTCACCCTCATCAAAAAAAAAAAAAAAAAAAAAAGAAGAAGAAGAAGAAGAAGAAGAATTTCGGATGGTATTAGTTACAACGGCATGTGGGAGCTTATAAAGACGGCCTATCTCAGTTAATCAGAATTCGAGTGAAATAGAAATCACGCTAACGACGGGAAAGTAGAGAACAAGCCAGAAGTTTATGTACAAAATTTAAACTCGATTATTTTGAAGTTGTAATGCGCTATATCTACTAGATAGTACTCATAGATTAGAAGCAATTTCTGATCCATCTAACCTATGTGTTGGATGGTGCAACTGAAAAATTGACTGCACATCGCTTGAGGTGTAAATGGGTAAATGATGAGGAGGAGGACAGTTTCCATGACCAGCTCTGCATGTCAACAACCTCGCTCGAAACGGGGGAATCAGTCTCCTATCATGAACAAGCAAGCAAACGGCAATGAGAAATCCGACCGTCCCCTCTGAATTCAATCATTCCCTTTTAAAGCTTAATTTGGTGCAACCATTCTAATCACTGACCATCACTGTCGCCAATTACATTACTGTGTATCCAATTAAGTTACGCAGTACAATCTATCGATCGAGAGCATGCTTACAAAGTTAAATTCGTTCTTTTGGAATTTTGGTATTTGCAATTGGTTGCAGTTTCGTACCGACTCATGTTTCTAGTGATCTGTTGGTAGAATGCATATGCATGCGTACTTTTATGCTTTTGAATTATACCCAAGAAAGAAAAAAAAACTTATAGGAATTCGTATTGGACAAGTTAATATAATGGTAGTTTAGTGGCACAATTGTGATGTTGTTAATAGTATATCGGATTAATATCTTTTTAAAAATGATTTAATATATTCATTAGTATTACAGCGGTGCAATATCGTCGAAACCGGCTGATATACTACCAATAATTGTCAATTTAACCCCGTAAAACCATATACATAGTTTTCCCCCCTTTCATAATATTAGTGTACCGTACTGATCCGAATGGCAGTAGACGGTTTCTATGATACGACCTTGAAAATAACAATCAGTCCAATGAAAGAAATGAAGTCAATGAGAGAGCATGCAGACATAGAACACAACTATAGCTAGCTTTCAACTCGAAGGAGTATAGTATATTAGTCCGGATTGCATCGATCAATATTAGTTTCACCGCTTTTTAGGAGATTAAATCTTTGACATGCATGAGGCAGGAAATTCAACTTACAAAGAAAAGCAACTTTGTGTGTGTGTAAGTAAGTAATGTCAACTTTTTTAAAATTCAAACTCTATTCATATATTGAATATTCTCATTGAACTCTTGAAATTGACTTCTAACAAACTTTTTTTTCTCTTTTGTTACTATGTAATTAAAGAATGCATTGCATACACATGTACGTGCAATCCCTATCTCGAATTTTTCTTGGGGGCCATAAAAATCATAATATCCGGTTGGTTGGTTGGCTGTACCTTTTCTTTATCGAACAACCAAAACCCAACTGCTTTCTTTCTCCTTTTGCATGGATCAAGAACACAAAACATAGTGATGATCATTCTCGTCGACGTGATGCATCCTCCTCATATTCATCTCTCACATGGACACAGTACGGAACGGTTAAAAAACAGAGACCCATTTATTACTCACCGGAAATGTGTCAAACCAGTACGTCCGGTACACGAGGAAAAAAAAAAAAAAAAGAGAGGATAAGGGCATGGATGAATGCTGATTGCGATGCAGGGTGGTTCAAAATACAACGAGGCAATACCTAATACTCATCATGTCGAAATTCTGCTAAGGCGTTTACGAGGTTTCGTTTCAACACGCTAATCGAATTGATTATCGTGGCTGAATCAAATACAAAGACGTTGGATTCGCATAATGGGTATTGGTTCATCTCAACTCAACATTAGTACACCATCCGTAACACAAGTCACCAAAATTTAAACCTGCAAACAGTGGTATAGTCAGGATTCAGTTTAAGGTGGGTCCAGCTCGAAAAAAATAAATATGATAAAATAGTTTTTTTTAATATAATCTTACGTTGAAATTTTTGATAAATTAAAATGCATTAGCAATCGAAAATATCAAGAATATCACTCTGCATATATATACCAAACAATCATTGATTTAGTTAGTCGTAGTGTTTCAAATGGTGTTCTTTGTTAAGAACCGTTAGTGTCAATACCTCGAGTTGTTGATAGAGGTTTAATAATAAATCTTATACCAACCAATAATTCATGATTTACCTGGTCGTTCGCTTTCGAATGATCTTAAAAAAAATTTAGTATCAATAAATCGAGTTGTTGGAAGATTTCAATAATATATTATACCATTTACTACCATGCTCCCTTATAAGAAAGTCAACTTATACGAAATTGATGTTTGCGCAAATCTGTATACAGTATGCTTAAGAAATGAGGTCGCCAAGATTCAAACACAACTTTTCGACCAACTATTCTCAACTAAACGCGACCTAATTTTCGATATCAATTAACTATCGTACCTAATTTAACCATTTTGCCTCGAACAGGGTGGGTCCCGGGACCCACCCTGTTACCTTCTCCCTCCGCCACTGCCTGCAAACCGAAGTCATAGTGAAATCCATAATCGAAAGCTATGCTCTTTGTGAACTAGTCCCGAACTTCAGGAAAACCATGTACACCGTAACTAGTAACGGCGATTGACCTCATTGAATGGAACAGGGACAGAGGCTAGCCAGGGGGGCCAAGGTTTGTGGTTAAAGGAAGAAATGGGATTCATGTGATTCGAGCCAGGGGAGGGGACTGCTGAGGCTGGCTGACTGCACCATGCATCCATATTTACCTACATATCCATTATGATGATGTTGATGATAGGAAAGCAGGAGGACAAGAACGAATTAAAGCCTATCATCTCATCTCAAAAATTGGACGAGGGCCCTCACTTACATACACATCAACATCATGT